AAGAGCCTACCCAACATGCTGGCCCTGGCCTCGAACCTGTGACAAGGAGAAAGTCAACAACTGAGGGTCTCATGACACGTCAGTCATGAAAGAAGCCAAGATGACAAGTTCTTCTTAGATTTTACATCTAACCCTATAATGAAAAGACACTTGAAAATCTTTTGAAGTTATCATTCCATGGCTACAACCCTGAAATTAGACAAGCAAGGCTAAGTTTAGCATCACTCAGAAACTGTCCCTATAATTCCTCCTCCCCAATACATCATAACCACTAGTAATAAAAGTGAACCCCTTACCCCTTGGGGTGCTTCACACAGGCCGAATGCTGACGGGGCGACTCTCCTTTCTAGGGCGCTCTTACTGCCAAGGTAGGCTCCACGGTCTGGGAGCTTATCGGACGTGCCCAAATACTCCCAGCAGAGGCCCAGCAGACACCTTCAACACACGAGTGCTACAGACAGAAACCTGAGACCCACTCTGAGAGCGGGATCTGAGGCTGGCGCTCCCCAGAGGAGGCCAGAAAGGACCAGGTACTTCCTTCCTCCCGGACTGGCTCAGGTCCAGCAGCCGGGGTCTCCAGTGTGACCACGACGGCCAGGAGCGCCAGCACTTGCCTCTGCGAACTGAACTGAACAGGTCAGGGGCCAGACCGGGAGGGGAAGGCCGCCTGCATCTCTGATGACAGGGTGACTCAGCCTTACAAAGAGGAAGTGATAGTGAGCACGGGGAGTCACAGGTGATGCTCCCCCTCTTCCTGGTGCTCTTGTGTCCTAGTGTGTCTATAGAGGCTTTTAAAATTTTTTAATTCATGGAAAAAAAATTACCTTTTACGATGTACTTGATTCCCACATAGAATTTTTCATCTACCCTTATCAGGTGGATTTCTGGAACTTACAATTCCACGCCATCCACTCACCCAAGCACGAGCTGTATTTTCATGTACCAGGCACCTCCAGGAAGGAGGCGAGATCAGAATCATCAGAATCACCACCACTGGGCGTGCGCCCCATACGTGTGAGGGCCGAGAGGCGCTCTGGGAGGGAAACACACACCACAGTGCGATAAGCAGCCCACCCTCGGCCTCGAGCACGTGGGTCCTCGGCCTGGTGCTACCTTTTCATCCTGAAAAATTATTTCTGTTTCTCCTTCAAAATGCCAGTATCTTACCTCCCAAGATGTTCCTTCCAACTCCCAGTGAAAGAAACACTCTGGTTTTCCCTCTACCTGGAACTTGACCGAGCACCCTCCAGGGATCGTCCTTAAAACCTCACCCGCACTTCTCTGGCGGGCTCGGTCCTCACCCTTTCCCAGCCCCGGAGCAGAGCTACAGGGACAGGCCCGCTGCAGCGAGCAGTCAGGGGTAGGGCTGGCGTCTGAACCCGAGGCCTTGGCCTCAAGGCTCCATGTTCTGAGCCGCTGGGCTGAGTCTGCAAGTTCGCAGTAACAAGCTGACTGGTTTTGAGAGCTCCTCTGGAGACAGCACGAGGTGATGGCCAGAACCTCAGAGTACAGCCAGGGCTTGGTCCAGGCACCATTCCTGGACTTACTGTGTTTTCTCCACAGGCCTTTCTTCTAATCTCAGGGACGGGCAACTCCCAGATTTTCACCTCTGGTTTTGAGCTCCAGAGTGATGTATGCAACCACCTACTGTCCTCTTAGGTTTAATAAGCACAGAGGGAACTGTGATCTCTCTCCCTCCAGTCTCCAGTACCCACTCCTTCCCAGTTTTACCTAGTGCGTTAAAGTGATCGTCAGGACCCCACAATTTGCTCCTCCCTCCCCGATTCAGTCTCCAAGAAGCAGCCAGGGTCATTTCCAAAATCGCCATCTGACCACCTCGTGTTCCTGCTCCCTTCGAGGGGAAACCCCAGTTCCGGCGAAGACACAGACCTGGGCCAGACCCCAAGTGGCATGGCCCTCAGTTCACACCAGCCTCTCCAGGTACACTGCCCTCTCTCAGTTCTCTCGGCCCCAAGTTCTTCCCTACCCCTGGGCCTGAACCTGCTCCCCTTCCCGCAGGAACGCTCTGCCTCCAGTTCCTTCCCTGGTTGGCCTCCTTTCCGTGCAAGGCTCAGATTAAAGCACACCACTTCCTTCGAGGTGTCCTCTGCCTCCCTGTTTAAAGTAGGCCTCTGTGTTTCTCTGTCACAGGCCCACTGCCTCCTCTTACATCACAGTCACCATTTGCCGCGCACGCGTGTGTGTGCGTGTGTGTGTGTGGTGCAGGGCAGGGGTTATCTGCCGCTGCAGACCCTGTGCCAGGCACGTGGTAGGTGATCAAGGTCTGTGGAATGAAACAGTGGCCACACCTCTAGTCCAAGCCCTCAGCTCTCACCTGGACAGTCACTAGAGCCTCCTCACTGGTCTTGCTACCTTCATTCTCTCTTTCTTCATTCCAATCCTTCCACAAGTGCTGACAAGAGCTCTAAAAAAACACATTTGATCCTGTCACTCCCTTGAGTAAAAGCCCAAAGCTTCCCCCACAGCCTCCAGCAGTGTCACATGCACATCTGCCAGCAGGTCACAGAGGGCGTTTCCAGTCTAGGTGCAGTTTCTCTGCCCTGCTTGGCCTCCTGCCACCTGAGGCCCACATGCCGTGCCTTGGCCCCACTGGTTCTGTGCTGTTCCTCCAGCTCTAAAGGCCTTTCTCACCCTCCTCTAACTCCTCTGCATCTTTCAAGACCCAGATATCAAATGTCACCTTCTGGGAGCCTTCTCGGACTTCTCCCACCGAGCCTCACTTTTGATTTGACGTCACGGTGTCTGCTACATCCTGAAGAAAGGAGCTCGCACAGACCCCCAGCACTTGCTCATGACGCTGCTGAGCGCCTGGCCCAGCACACTTCCATCTTATCTTGCTAGAGTGAGAGCTCCCGGGAGGACAGGGCCCGCCCACCCTGCGACCACACTGCAGGGCTCACAGGCCACGCCCAGTAAGAGCCTGAGGAATGAACCTCTGCTTCCCGCTCTAACACCAAGGCGCACCTGAGCAGACAATCACTTACCTTCTCTTTGACAAGTTCCTCATCTGCAACATGGGACAGCTGCCCACACCCCTGGACAGAGGGACCATCTAAAAGCACGAAGCCCCCTGACTCTCATCCCCACGCCAGCCCACTCCTGGCACTCTGAGAAACACGCCTCTGACGACCCTCGCTCTTAGCCAGCCTGACCAAAGCCTGATGAAATGTCATCCGCACAGCCAAAGAACTTCCTTACTGTGAAGGACAATCCACTTCAGTCTCAAGTCAAAATGCCAAGTTGGCATTATACCATCCACAGTCCCAGCTTATGAACAGCTGTTTTTCAAATAAAATGTAGGGCATGAGGTGAGCCATGTGTAGACCACTAAGAGCAAGGAGGTGCTTTCTAGCCTGCGACTTCCAGGTGTCCAGAGTGACAGACGGGTCTGACTGATGCATCTGCGGGCTCTCAGGGCTCCGAGACTCAGGGACCTGTGGTCTCCGGCTCCCACCTGCCCCCAGTGATGACACACAAACCCTCTTGTTCTCTAAGTGGCATTCTGTGCCATCCTCGGCCAGAGCAGCCTCCCAATCTAGTTTCCCAACAGCCCTCACATGGTTCCAACCCCTCCCTCTCGGTAGCACGCCCTACCTCAGCACGACCAGAACCCCGCAGTGAGTCCACATCCGCGATTTCTACTGACAGTGCAGAGAAGGCTGGTGGTAGGACTCCATCTCCCCACCAAAAACATGTATCATCCAGCTAACTTAGAAGTCACTTCCTCAGATGATACTAATAAAATATCTAGGTAAATAGAATAATTTTCTGCTTAAACTTTTTGAACGGAAAATAGAATTAAATCCTTTTCCTCTAGTTTTTCGATGCAGATGGCAGATTTGTTTCCAGTCAACCTCGATGAGACCAGAAGAGGAGATGGCGTGGTCCAATGACCTCACCAGATCCGCGGCCGAGTCACACAGGAGCACTTGGACGGATACTAGGTACACATGGGCAGCACACATCATAAGGAATGGAGAAGAATCTAACAATTTGTCAAGTTGAATATTCTTCCCCAAACAAAATTATTTCTTAAAAACCAGAATCTATAACGTGCTCCTGTTCCAAGGTAACAGCATTAAAATCATGCACAGTGTGAACCCACTGCCCTCCTGTGAAGAAGGCTTCCACAGGACTGCCCCGACAGATCAGGGCTGAGGGCACACCAAGGCTGGGCCCAGGACTCGGACCTCGGCGAGCCTACACCACCGTTCCCATGGCCAGGAGAGTCGTGCTGAAACAGGAGGGAGAAATCAAACATGTAACAGCATTTCCTGGGGCTGAAAAGCCACTCCGACAGCTTTCACAAATATAACCTATTTGGCAACTTGGACTTGCCACGTTTCACGGCCTTGATGTGTTCCTCAAAGGACAGCTCCGATGTCTCAGGCTCCTTCCAGAATGAAACTGAAGACGCTACAACCCCAGTACATACTACAACACTGGCAAAAGCTCTGTCGTGTGATCCAATTTTAAGTGCCAGGATTTCTCTCTGTGTCAAAGGTGACTTAACAGCAAATATTTTCAAAGCAAGAGACCTGCTCCTCAGCCAAAGGCCTGTCAAACACACACGCGAGCTTTAAGTGCGGTGTAAGCCACCCAAGAGAGTGTCACTGAGTTCACTGGTCTGCACAGAACTGTCTGGTGAGGGAACAAAGTCTGGAATTCTTTATGTTCTTATTTAAATTATAAATACCAAGTCAGAGTCTCACCCCTACCTCCATGACAGCAGAGTTTTAAAGCACTTGCTAGAGACCTGAGCATGCTGCACAAAAACACATAGAACAGTTCCCCAGGGAAGAACAGGTAGAGGCAACACGTTCATTCAGCACATGTAAACGTGGGTAATACTAGGTAGGACAGCCGAGAGAACGAGAAATGGGCTCAGCTCAAAAGTGTACAATAAGGCCCACTCCCCTTGGTAAGGACATATAAATTCTTAAAGGGATTCTTAACAGCTAAGGCAGGGTGCTACTTACTTCCTCATTAAATAGTTTGCTAGTTTCTTTTTTGATTGGGTCTATAAGCTGGACTTGGCCTGCGGAAAAGCCCACTAGGAGAGAGACACTTTCTGCTGTGGCTGTTAGGTGGTTGAAGTCATGACAAGTAGGCTGTGTTCCTTTGTATATCCTTTTATCTATTGGTTTACTCAAGTCAGCAGCCTGGAGGAGAAAGAGAAAAATACACACAGTAAACAGCACATTGAGATGAGAAATCTAAGTTACACTATTTTATACTCCACTATGATGTTCAATCTTAAAAGCAAAGTTATTTAAAATACTTTTTCATATTTTAGCATTTTATCAAAGCACTTTCACATACCTCAGCAGATTTGACATTGTTAGACTATCCATACAATGTTTATAACTGTTACTTTCACAACTTATTCTTCTTCAAATATATGTAACTAAGATTCCTGGACTTCAGGAGGAAACATACCTGAGATACTAAATTCAGTATTCGCAAAATGCATTCCAAGCATTTTCTAACAGAGTACCTCTAACCACACAAAAGCTCAACTTTCAAATGTATCTACAGCACCTACATGCTCATTGGTGAGTTACCTGTAGCCCCGTGGTTCTCAAAGTGTGGTCCCCAGACCAGTAGTGGCAGCAGCAGCATCACCTGGAAACTCAAAAATGCAAATTCTCAAGCCCCACCCCAGACCACAAGAACCAGTAACCAGGGGTGGGCCCAGAGCCCTTGAAAGCCTCTGGCGATCCCGCTGCACTCCTGCTGGCCGACCACTGCGGGACGCAGGCTCCTCGGCTGTTCCTCCCTACACTCTCAGCCTTCACCCTCGAGCCCACGTGCACTCAAGTGCAGTGCATGCACCATCTCTCATCCTAAGTGATCCTTCTAGGTAGGCACACTGCCCCATTTTACAGACGAGAAAACCAGTTTGGGGACGTTAAATAACTCAGCCAAGGTCACCATACCTACCTAGTACATGGCAGGGCTGGATGTGGAACCAGGTCTGTTGACCATAAAGGGACAGAGAGAAGACACAGCCACACACCCCAGCAGTAAAAGCTGCTTTAGTGTGACTTGGACTAAATGTGCCTTTCAGTGTGCCTCCCTCCCTGTGAAGCAGGGTTCTTTTCTTCATGAGAAATGTCCTGTGCACTCCAATGTGCTGGGCTGTTCTGGTTGAAACAGAGGAAACCCACCCCTCCCACTCTTGTTTGAAAACCCCAGATGGAGACAACTACACTGCTGACTGCGTCCTTCAAACATCACTGGGGCCTTGTCACTGCTCTGGGGCACACGGCTCTGTTCTCTACTGACCACCCCCTCCCTGTGTAGCTTCTGAAGATTTCTTCCTCCCAAGGAGGCCTGCGCACTGTACCGAGTATTCTCAAGTCTGATTTTCAGAGAACAAATACAACGCTGAGAAGAAGAGGGATCTCCAAATGACAGGTATCTCTGAGCAAAGGCGGGACCTGGCACCTGGAAGCCCAGCCCTGAGGGGAAGTCCTCTGGAATTCAGGCAGTGAGAGACAGAACTCAAACTCAAAACGCGAGCATATAAAACTATTACACGGTCTCTATGTCAGCACACACAGTTCTGGAGATTTTTAAATAAAAATTTGCTTAGGGAACCACCCCTAAAAGAATATACCTAACATTATAAACTGAAATATAATCAATTCAAAGGCAAGGCAAAAATTAACAGAGAAAACACACTAACATAAATGAAATGAACAAAAGAATGTACAGAGGTTCTCAGAAACAACAGAGGAAGTGAAAGCACCTGTTTTTCCAAGCACTGCAACTAATTTAAACCTATGGATCCCTTATAATAACCACATTTGCCTCAGTTCTTGGTACACAGGGGTGGGCAACAGTAGGTCTACAGGCATGAGTATGCGAAACAGAGTTTATTCCTGTATTATTTATTAATTATTGTATTTGTTTCCATATATACAATGTAAACCTAGTTTTGCCCACTCCATATTTATTCTATATCCCTGACCCTAACATGGAACCTTACGGAAAAGATGTTGCCTATAATCAGATTATATGTGAACAAACACCTCAAATATTTTAAATGCCAACTGAAAGGCTATTTTTACTCTTAAGTCATGTAAATATTCCAAAAACATCCTGTTTACTAATTTTTTTTTTTTCTTCACCCAAGGACATTTTTCCATTTTTTGTTTAGACAGAGTGGGAGGGAGAGAGAGAGAAACAATGACGTGAAAGGGACACATCGAGTGGCTGCCACCCGCACGACCCAACCAGAGCCGGGGACAAACTGCAACCGAGGTACGTGCCCTTAGCGGGAACCGGCCAGGCCTGTTACTAATTTGCTGAATAACCTTTCCTCCTAGATCACTGCTCTCAAAGTGAACTAGTCCGTAAATAGTTTAACAGCCTGTGATCAAAATTAAATTCAGAAATTGTTAATAAGTTTTAGAAACATTTAGGGCAGTGTGACAAAGTAATTTTTTATCTGTTCAACCTAATAATAAAAAATTAGAGTTTGCATTCTGTATGTCTTTTTCAATTCCTTTTCTATTTTACAAAATGTTTTAATCAGTCCAGACAGACTGGAAATTTTAAAAATTAATCCTTCAACACTGGTGGGAGAAGCGGTGTCCTAGAAGGCACAAAAGTAGACCCAGGCCCAAGGACCCTCAGAACACGTCTTCTCCGGGAAGGTCACCCTCCCTGCCCAGCCCCACTGGCACTCTGATGGTACTGAAGCAGAAGTCTGGCCGGGCAACATGCACCTACAGCAACGGGGATTCCTGTGAGGCCTGACTGATTACTAGGTGTGTGCCCACAATCAAGTATACTTCCCAGAGTCCCACGGGCTCCGCCATGGTACCTGAGCTTTCCGGAGCCCAAGTCCAGCACAATCGACTCTGACGCCTCCTGTCCCTTCCTCTAAAGCTAGTCACTAGGCTCTGTCTCTTTTTCCGTTGATAAGTGTTGCTGCCCTATTTTCTCTTCCTCCTCCTTTTTTGAGGGTGGAGGTGTACCCACATGTACTCTGAACTCACACACCTTTTTAGTAGCAGTAATCACTCCCCGGGCCGGCCTCTCCTCTTCCCCAGGGGTCAGTCGCCCCATGGTGGCTTCCCAGGTAAAGGCAGTCTGGCAGGAGGAAAACCAGACTCTGGAACCAGGCAGGCCCGGCCTCAAGCCTTGCCTTCCCTCTTGGTAGCAAGGTGACCTGTGTGCAAGGTGCTCCCCCCCACCCCTACCCCCAGCCTCAGAGCACAACCCGCCCCCCAGTGCCCCTGTAGGGCAGTGGTGAGGCCGGTGATAATGGATATAAAGCAGAGTACACAGCAGCACTCAGATGGTAGCTACCATCATTAATTCATCCCGTCCCATACCACTTCAGTCAAATGGCTTCCTCATTTCCATCACATCAGAGTAGGATGCCAACTAGCAATCCTGCCCTCCCAGGTTTGGCCCCTCCTTCCTCCCTAACATCACACCACTTTCTGTATACCACTCACCATCTCACTTAATCTCACAGCACCCCTCCAAGTCAGCAATAACGCTACCCGCATCTTACAGCTGAGGAACCTGGGGAGGAATTCAGGGGTCCTGCCCCCACACCACATGGCGTGAGGTGGTACAGGCAGGCAGCCTCCTGGTTGGGACAGTCTCCTTCGCCTGTTTCCAGGAATCTTACCTATCAGTTCAGGTCCCACCACCTCATAGCAAGCATTTTCTCAACCACTATTCTCTGTGCCGGCTCCTTTATCTCAGTTCCCAAGAACTTAATTCATTCCACAAAATTTAGTATTTAATCACTTATGTGATTATAGTACTGTTCTATGTCTGTTATCATCAATTACAACAAAGTTACAATTATGATAAAAAATTGCAATGAAAACTCCTTTAAGGAGCAGGACTTTTTTCTTAAACAGTTACCATTGTATTGTTCCACAGAATTCGCTTTTGTTTTTCAGCTTGCTGGTGGATTCTGCATAGATGGATTTCAAACACTTAGGAATATTTTTTAATGCTTCTGCATCCTAACTATTGCCAATGATCTGAATTCTTTTTTTTTTTTTAAGTGAATTTCTTTTATTTTTTTCTTTATTGATTTTCAAGAGAGAGGAAGGGAGGGGGAGAAGACAGAAGCATCGATGAGAGAGAACATCGATTGGCCGCCTCCTGAATGCCCCACAGTGGGGTTTTGGCCCATAACCTGGGCATGTGCCCTGACCGGAAATCGAACCAGTGACCTCTTGATGCATGGGTCAATGCTCAACCACTGAGCCACACCAGCCGGTTATATTCTTAAGTATGAATTCTACCCAAACCAATGTATTAAAATGTCTTATCAATTTTAATAATTAGATCACATTTGCTTATTCAATTCCAAAAGAGTATCCAGTATGTTATAAATACTCAATATCTGTTGAATAAATGAAATTCCAATTGTTCCAACGGTAAGATTAAATTTTATCATTATGCTCATTAGTTTCTGCATAAGGAGCTAATAATTACAAATAATTTGTCAGTGTTTTATTCTCAACTTCACAGAAAATTTTTAAATGATGGTTTAAAACTCCTACTACAGAAACAGAGCTGGCTACCCAAATCTCTGATCAGTAAGTACAAACTTTAAGATGTCATGTTTTGCCCTGGACAGTTTGGCTCAGCGGTTAGAGCATCAGCCTGTGGTCCAGAGAGACCCAGGTTCGGTTCCCGCTAAGGGCACGTACCTCGGTTGCAGTTTGTCCCCGGCCTTGGTTGGTCGTGCGGGTGGCAGCCACTCAATGTGTCCCTTTCATGTTGATGTTTCTCTCTCTCTCTCTCCTTCCCACTCTATCTGAACAAAAAAAAAGGAAAAATGTCTTTGGGTGAGGATAAAAAAAAAAAGATGTCATGTTTCTCTTTTCCTTGGACTTTTCATCCTTAAAATCCCTGGCATTCTTTTTATGACAAATACTGTTGCAATACGGAGTCAGCTTGGTCGGTTCAACACTAATGAGCATCTCTTTCCAGCACCACCAAGGTCTGCAAGAGAACCCTCCTGTTCCAGCTCACACCTTCACCCCAGACCCCGCCTGGGCCACCGGCCCAGCTGCTGCGCCAACAGGGAGGCAGAGAGGTGAACCAGTGGGGTCTGGCCCACCTGAGGGAAGGGGCTTCCCGGGGTCAGTGGCCTGTTACCTGGTACTCCTGAGGACCCAGAGGCATTTGATGCGACATGAAAAGTTATCTCAGAAAGACCTCTTTTGAAAAGTGCATCAGATTATGATTATGGGGCAATGTAGATAATACAGGTGGCTTTATTTTCCCAAAATGTCGCATTCTCCTTCCTCATCCAAGAATCACCTCAGAGAGAATCAGTCCCACAGAACCTGCCAGAAACGAGTCATTTTACTGGCATATCGAACAGCTGCAAAACACCCGACGCGCCAGAAACTCACCTCGTCTACGCCAGACACCACTCTCTTTCCCCCTAACCCTCTCCCAAGCTTAAAGGCCTGCTGGCTCGGTAGGGTTCCTGTATGGCACCCCCACCAACAACAGCTGCAGAGACCCCAGGTGGTCCTTCCCTGGGCCCCATCCAGCCTAGCCGGCCTCCTTGGCTTGGCACCAGGCTCCTTCCACCCATTTCTGCCCACATCCAATTCATCCCACAAACTTTGCCAGGTTCATCTTCATGAAGCCTTGGGTCACTCTCCCACTGAAACCCTCCTGGGCTCTGCCAGGTGTGGCGTAACATCGGCTGGCTCCCATGCTTGGTATCTACAGGCCTTCCTAATACAGGCCCCTCCACACACCTCACCCCCAGAGGCTGCCTGCGCTCTCCACACCTTCTGGCCTTTCCTCACATCCTCCTCTCGCTCAGAGCACCTTCAGCCTGATGCCTGACATTCACACGCTTCTGCTCACAGCAGCACCAAGGTCACTTCCTCCTGATCTCACCTCTGGGGGGTGTGCTCAACCTTCGCAGGTGCTAACCCACTGCGTGCCACATTCATCAACTGTGCGTGCTAATTGCCTTCCATATACTGTGAAAGTCCAGCTCCTTTTAAAAAGCGAAAAAGTCAGGAGGTTGCTGAGTCACCGATGGCCTGAATGGATTAGTCAAAAACAGCTGGAGCAACCCAAGTGCCTGGAAGCACCAATGTGCCATCTGAAAACCAGGGGGGACTGAGGCCGAGCTGTCCACTGCCACTCCTCTGCCCTCGTCCCAGATGACCAGGACGGGGCCCAGAGTGAACAAGGGATCACTGATCAGAAAGAAGGGGACCAGTGGAGTCCTACCTAAGCAAGACTCAGGATCCAAAGTCAGCCACAACACAAGGGCCATCCCACAGCCTTTCTTGGGGAGGCTTTTCACCTAGCCAGGCTAGGGTTCCTGGTGCCTGCGAGGGGTGAGTGCACAGTCTGAGCTGGACCACATACACCTAGCTGGTCACCATGGGAGGAGACCTGGGGAACACCACAGCCTTCCAAATCACAGGCTGAATGCAATGAGGCTCAGACACTCAGAGCTGAAATATGTTCACTTTGTGAACTAGGTTCAATGTACTATTTTTAAAAGTTTCTTTAACGCAGTGGAAAATAACCTGGCTCTCATAACAAAA